CCTGACTACTGAGCAGGCAGGGAGATGTGAGAGCCACAGAGACTTGGGCAAGGCACACGGGCCCATTAGTTCAGCAGCTGTGGAGACAGAAGCCATTAAGGAAGGAGTACTGTCTGGAAATCAGAAACCTGTACTGACTGGCTGTGTGAATAGGAGCAAGTCACTTCCCCTCTCTGGTCTTCAGTTTCTTCCTTTTCAAAATGACAGGAAATCATCTCTAAGCTTATTTCTAGCTGAAAATTCTGGGATCTTATTTAAAGAATTGGGTCTATTTCAAGAGTCAACTTAGTTGTTTTTTTTTTTTTAGGTGAGGGACAGGGTCTCCCTCTGTTGTCCCGGTTGGTCTCAAACTCCTGGGCTCAAGGAGTTCTCTGCCTCAGCCAGCTTCAGAAGTTCTTAATAGGAGGATATTGTCCTTCTTGTTGCTTTTCCGGGGCTGTTGTGAGGTGGAAGCAACAGAGACCGGCATCCTTAAGCCACTGCTGAGCCATGACTAGGAATTAGACTTTGCAAAGGGGCTGTGTGCAGTGGCTCACACCTGTAGTTCCAGCACTTTGGGAGGCTGAGGGAGGAGGATAGCTTGAGCCCAGGAGTTTGAGACCAGCCTGGACAACGTGGCAAGACCCTGTATCCACTAAAAAAATTAAAAATTATCTGGGTTTGGTGGCGTGTGCCTATAGTCCCAGCTCCTAGGAAGGCTGAGGTGGGAGGATCGCTTGAGCCTGGGAGGCAGAGGCTGCAGTGAGCCAAAATTGCACCACTGCACTCCAGCCTGGTGACAGAGGGAGACCTTGTCTCAAAAAATGACCAACCAACCAAAAAAAACCCCAAATGACGATATAGTGAATATCTCGGTGTTCGAATGAGCATATCTGTAGGCTAAATTTGATGGGGATTCTTTAAAATCAGCTTATGTATCTTCTTTTAGGGTAATTAGCCTCCCAAGTAGCTGAGACTACAGGAGTGCGCCACCCAGCTTGGCTATTTTTTTTTTTTTTTTTTTAAATAGAGATGGTGTCTTGCTATGTTACCCAGGCTGGTCTCAAACTCCTGGGCTCAAGCAATCCTCCTGCCTTGGCCTCCCAAATGCTGGGATTATAGGCATGAGCCACCACACCTGGCCATCATGTGTGAGAGTCCTAAACTAGAAATCACTGTTATTATCATTACTACGAGGCGAATGAAATCAGTTATGATCTGCCAAAAAGAGATTGAGGCATCTGTACTGACCTGGGCCAATCTTCGAGATGCATGAAGTGTGTACTGACTGTATTCCACCATTCGTGCGTGCTGTTGGAGAAGGCACACATGTCTGCATACGATAGGTAACTTCTGGAAGGACGCACAGCAAACTGGTAACAGTGGTTTCCTCTGTGGAGAAAACGGGGGGACTGAGGGGCAGGGAATGAGCAGGACACAGCTTTTCACTTGCAGGCCTGTAGCACCATTTGAATTTTTGTTTTTCCATCTCCATATATTAACTTGAAAATTTTTCTTCTGGTAATACAGCAATTATAGCAATTGACTTTAAATGTGAAAACAAGCTTGCATTCTGAGATAAACTCTATTTGGTCATGATGCATTATAGTCTGCATATTGCTGAATTCAATTAGCTCATAGTTCAGTGATTTTGCATCTGTGTTCATGATGTGTTTATAAGTAGTCACTTTCTGTTCTTGAAATGTGTTTGGCCACTTTTGGTATTGTGGCAATACTGTCCTCATAGCAAGAGGTGGGAGGAAAGTGTTCGCTTTTCTCTTGTTTTCTGCAAGTTTGCATAGAATTGAAGCTTTATCTTTTTTCTTTTCTCTTTTTTTTTTTTTTTTTTTTTTTTTAAGACAGAGTCTCACTCTGTTGCCAGGCTGGAATGCAGTGGCACGATCTCAGCTGCCTGCAACCTCTGCCTCCCAGGTTCAAGCGATTCTCCTGCCTCAGCCTCCCAAGTAGCTGGGACTGCAGGCAAGTGCCAGTACACCCAGCTAATTTTGTTATTTTTAGTAGAGATGAGGTTTCACCATATTGGCCAGGATGGTCTCAATCTCTTGACCTCATGATCCGCCTGCCTTGGCCTCCCAAAGTGTTGGGATTACAGGTGTGAGCCACCACACCTGGCCAGCTTTTTCTTTCTTAAATGTTTAATAGAACGCACCAATAAAGTGATCTGGACCTAAAGTTTTCTTTGGAGATTTTTTTTTTAAGAGATGGGGTCTGACCTTGTTGCCCAGGCCGAACTCAAAATCCTGGGCTCAAGTGATCCTTCTGTCTCAGCCTCTCAAGTAGCTGGGACTGTAAAAAGACTTTTTTAATAACAAATTTCTTTTATATAGAGTTACTCAGGTTTTCTGTTTCATCTTATGTACATTTTAGTAAGTTCTATTTCTCAAGGAATTGGTTTTCATCTATTGGTTTAAAATTGTTCATATTTCCTTATTATTTTTTAATGTCTGTAAGACCTATAATAACATCTCCTATTTCATTACTGATAATTTGTGTTTTATCTTTTCTTTCTTACAGTTTTGCTAGGGGTTTATTAATCTTCTCAAAGAACTGTGGCTTTGTTAAATTTACTGTTCATCTGTTTTCAATGTCATTGATTTTGCTTCTATCTTTACTATTTCCTTTCTTCTTACTTTGCTTTTCCACTAGCTACCTTCTTTCCAATATATAGATATTTAAAGCTATTAAATGTATCACTGGGGAAGCAAGTACAATCTACTAATTTAGACTTTATTATTTTATTTCTCTGGGTTACTTAATCTTGAAACATATTTCTAATTCTTTCAGAGAAAACTTTATTTTAAAAATTTTTTTAAAAAGGTCCATTGGCAAGAATTTAGAGAAAACTTTCTAGGAGAATCAGGAAATACTACCCACGGTGGGTGGGAGTATACGTTAAAAATCTAGAGAATGATTGTAAGGATATAAAAAAAACCTAATATTCCTGTTACTGTTCTTTTTCATTCCATTCCAAGCTGTGTTTATTCTAAAGATATTTTAATTTTAGGAACCTTTAGTTCCCTTTTTGAATGCTATGTTTTAATTACCAGTGACTCATTCATCTATACTCATGTTTTTGGATACAAATGAAGGTTAAGTATGACTCTGGTTAATTTAATGCTTTAACTATACCATACCAACTGCATCACTAATTCACTGTCAAGATGCAATCTTCTTTTGCTACTAACATTAATCACTTTTCTTTAGTTATTGCTTATATTATCTTTGGGGAACTAATTCCCCCATCTTTTTAATAATTCATTTTAATTTCTGATTTTTAAATACTGAAAAGGTTTATTAAAGGTTATTTTCTTTACACTTATTCTAGATAGTACAAAAAATTCCATCATAAAAAATTTTTTAAAAGGAATAATTGTGCTGTAACATGAAACAATTTTCAAAAGGAACTCATCAAGATATTCCTAAATATACATATAACCAAATGTATGTTTGTATATTTTAGAGAAAATAACAGAACTTTTTTTCTTATTTTAATTTTAGACAGAGTCTTGCTATGTAGCCCAGGATGTTCTTGAACTCTTAAATTGACCTTAAATTGTCTGAGCCTCCCAAAGTGCTGGGATTACAGGTATGAGCCACTGCACCCAGTCTAGTTTTCTTAAAAAAAATTTTTGTTGTTTTTTTGAGACAGGATCTCGCTATGTCGCCTGGGCTGGAGTGCAGTGGTGTGATCATGACACAGTGTACCCTCGAGCTCCCAGGTTCAAGTGATCCTCCAACCTAAACTTTCTGAGTAGCTGGGTAGGGATTACATAGGCATGCACCACCACACTCAGCTAATTTTTGTATTTTTTGTAGAGATGGGGTTTCACCATGTTGCCCAGGCTGGTCCTGAACTGGGCTCAAGCAGTCGAACCACCTCAAAGTGCTGGGATTACAGGCATTAGCCACAGAGCTTAAATCATTTTTGAAACATAGTTAACAACAGCCTTCTCAAATTAAGTCTGCTAGCAGAAAAAAAGTCTTAACATTTTACACTGAGTCCAAAGCTAGTTTGGGGAAAAGGCTTTTGATCTTTAAATGCCAAGGGAAAAGGTATCTTATCTCAGTCAAGAGATTATGCAATTCAGTGTAATGAAATATGTACCTACACAGATTACTTTTGCTTCTACCAGTTTTGTCTTTTATAAAACCCTGACGTGGCTTGGCACAGTGGCTCTTGCCTGTAATCTCAGCATTTTGGGAGCCAAGCAGGGAGGATCGCTTGAGCCCAGGAGTTTGAGACCAGCCTGGGCAACACAGTGAGACTTTCTCTTTTTTTTTTTTTTTTTTTGAGATGGAGTTTCGCTCTTGTTACCCAGGCTGGAGTGCAATGGTGCGACCTCGGCTCACCGCAACCTCCGCCTCCTGGGTTCAGGCAATTCTCCTGCCTCAGCCTCCTAAGTAGCTGGGATTACAGGCATGCGCCACCACGCCCAGCTAGTTTTTTGTATTTTTAGTAGAGACGAGGTTTCACCATGTTGACCAGGATGGTCTCGATCTCTCGACCTCGTGATCCACCCGCCTCGGCCTCCCAAAGTGCTGGGATTACAGGCTTGAGCCACCGCGCCCGGCCTCTTTTTTTTTTTTAATAAAAAAATATATATACACCTATCACAGCAGCACAGTGAAACTGCATCTTTACAAGAATAAAATAAATCAGCCAGGCATGGTAGTGTACATCTGTAGTCCCAGCTACTTGGGAGGCTAAGGTAGGATCACTTGAGCCCCCAGAGGTTGAGCCCCCAGAGGTTGAGGCTGCAGTGAGCCATAATTGTGTCACCGTAGTCCAGCCTGGGTGACAGAGTGAGACGCTGTCTCAAAAAACACAGGCTGGGTCTGGGTGGCTCACACCTGTAATCCCAGCACTTTGAGAGGCTGAAGCAGGAGGATTCCTCGAGCTCAGGAGTTCAGACCACCCTGGGCAACATAGTGAGACTCTGTCTCTATTTTTTTTTTTTTTAAGTAAAACAAACAAACAAACAAAAACAAAAAATTCCATGATCCTTTTGTGGTTAATAAACATGATGACTGGGTGTTCACACACATGTGTGAGATGTGCCTACCTCAAAGCTTGTTACAATTTAACCATTACCCATCTCACATTAAAACACACACACACACACACACACACACACACACACACACAAACGCACACAGTAAACTGTTAAAAATCATGTCTCATTTCAGCATCTTATATTTTTAAAAATCTGTATTTTGTAGATTACAATGACAAATGTATACCGTTAATGACTTTTTTTTTCTTTCCTCAACTTTTGTTTTAGGTTAGGAGATACCTGTGTAGGTTTGCTACATGGGTAAATTATGTGTTGCTGGGGATTTGTGTACAAATGATTTTAACACCCTGGGGGTGAGCATAGTACCCAACAGCAAGTTTTTTGACCCTTGCCTTCCTCCCACCCGGCCCGATCTAGTAAGCCCTGGTGTCTGTTGTTCCCATCCTTGTGTTCATGTGTACTCAGTATCTGTTTAGCTCTCACTGATAAGTGAGAACATGTGGCATTAATCACTTTAAAACCCAGTATGACAGATACCATTTTCTTACAGAGCATCAGATATTAGTATGTATGGATCACCCTGTTAACAGAACTCATCTGAAAATCAGCACAATATTTCATTTATTTATTGTATAAGTTTGGCGAACAGCACAAAAATCCAGCAACATTTAAAACATATAAAAAAGTCAAATGCTAAACAGGACTGGGGATTTTTTTTTTTTTTTTTTTACTTCGTTAGAAATAACGAGTAACATTTTAAGATACTGCAAAGCTAGCAAAATGAAGATGCTTGTCTTCTGAACATATACCACAAACACACATATAAAAAAACAATATAATTTATCTTTACAAAAATTACAGCCAAGCAATAGAAAAGAAGAGTGTTAATGATGAAGATAGCAACACGTTTAGTACATGTACCTTACACATTGAAATGCTACATCTTGTACCCTGAAATGCCATGTGTAGAGAGCCAAGCAGAGTAAATTTAGGCTCATTACTGAGGTTAAGAATAATTTGAAAAGAATTTAATTATGCTGTCTATATAGCAGTTGCTAGAAGATGACAACGTATTCCATTATATATCTGAGAAGTTGAGTCTTCTTTGTTGGCAGTATAAAATTTCTGACCAGTATCAAAATTCTGGTAACACACAAATTGAAGGCATTTTCTAGTGTTTGCAAATGTTACAAGGGGCATCAATGAATGTGAAAGAAAATCTCAGATTTTTCACATCAAGTTTCTGCTGAGCTTTGTCAAATCAAATAGCTCAGCTATAAGGCAAGAGAAAATAACTTCCAATAACAGATTAGTGGATATTACCAAGTAAATATAGGAATTCTATCTTAGGGGAAAAATTCCCTATATTAATAGATCTGAAACAGTTGGCATTGAAACAAACATCTAGAAATTAACAAACATTCTGACATTCAGTCATTGGTTCAGAAGCCTGACAAACAATCTGTTGGTATATATTATTAAATTAACTTTTTGGAATCAGCACCAGTCCCCAAAACCTCAAATTATAGTATTTAATCTTCATTAAAATACATCTTTTTTGTGCTACATTAACACAACTACAATTAAGTTAAAGAAAGCTGAATTTATTCAACTTATTGTATATGTTTATGTATACTAGGTAGTGACTTAAATTCTTGTATTTACTTGTGCTTCTGTTTTGGGGCACTTTGATTGGAGAGAAATTCGTTTCATAGGATTACATCTTGCTAAAACATTCCTTAGCATTGGTCCAAACTTGAATTCCCTAAAAATAAAAATAAAAACTTTAAAATGTGTGTTTGGAAGGAATCCGAAAACCCAAGTACTTGGCTTAGTGATACACTAAGTGTTGCTTTTTGGAATAATTAACAAGTGGAGCAAATACAGCACTATTTGGGGAAACGGCTAACACAAGCAAATGTCTAATGCTTCCAAAAAGAGAATGAGAATCTCTAATACAAGCTTTTCTTCAAAATGGAGAAAGAACTCCTACAACTTGTTGAAAAACTGAGTTAATTCATTTTATATCACATACTCAGGTAGTTTCCATTTGTAAATCAAACAACTTTTCGGTCATTTTTTGTTTGTTTTGTTTTTTTTTTTTGGAGATAGGCTTTTACTCTGTTGCCTAGGCTGGAGTACAATCACAGCTCTTTGCAGCTTCAACCTCCAGGGCTCAAAGGATCCTCCCACCTCAGCCTGCCAAGTAGTTGGGACCACAAGTGCAAGCCACCACATCTGACTTATTTTTTGTATATTTTTTTAAATGGGATCTCACTATGTTGCCCAGGCTGGTCTGGAATTCCTGGGCTCAAGCAATCCGCCTGCCTCTGCCTCCCAAAGTGCTGGGATTACAGGTGTGAGCCAGTGTCTGGCCCGGCTTTTTCAATGGAATATTTGAAACAAAAAACGTTATTAGTCTAACAAATATAAATTGAGTTGTTAAATTATTACTCTAATAACTAAAATGTTGATAAAAACTAATTATGTGCTAAATTATTGAATACTTCTTTTTTTTTTTTTTTTTTTTTTTTTTTTGAGACAGAGTTTCACTCTTGTTACCCAGGCTGGAGTGCAATGGTGCGATCTCGGCTCACCACAACCTCCGCCTCCTGGGTTCAGGCAATTCTCCTGCCTCAGCCTCCTGAGTAGCTGGGATTACAGGCACGCACCACCATGCCCAGCTAATTTTTTGTATTTTTTAGTAGAGACGGGGTTTCACCATGTTGAACAGGATGGTCTTGATCTCTCGACCTCGTGACACACCCGCCTTGGCCTCCCAAAGTGCTGGGATTACAGGCTTGAGCCACCGCGCCCGGCTATTGAATACTTCTTAATACTTGAAGTTACTTAGCACAAAGCTATAGATGGCCTAATGTGCATAAACAAAAATACATGTTTATAGAGATGTAACAGTAAAACTTAAGGTTTTTTTAAAAATAAGGTATTTTTTCAATAAATAAGATTCTCTAATAATTGCAAATTTATGAGAAAGGAACTTTAAGTATTAAAGTGTGTCATTTATTAAGGCTTTAAACAATTTTATTTTTCTTCTCTTTTCTTTTTGAAAGAAGGTCTCAGGAAGGGCACAGTGGCTCATGCCTGTAATCCCAGAACTTTGGGAGGTGGAACTTGGCAGATCATGAGATCAGGTGTTCGAGACCAGCCTGGACAACATGGTGAAACTTTGTCTCTACTACAGATACAAAAAATTAATCGGGCATGATGGTGTGCACCTGTAATCCTAGCTCTTTGGGAGGCTGAGGCAGGAGAACTGCTTGAATCTGGAAGGTGGAGGTTGCAGTGAGCCAAGATCGCACCATTGTACTCCAGCCTGGGCGACAGATTTTTGTCTCAAAAAAAAAAAAAAAAAGAAGTCTCGAACTCCTGGGATCAAGTGATCCTCCTGCCTCAACCTCCCAAATAGCTAGGATCACATACAAAAATCTGTATCACTTAGGCAAGAAAATAAAATGATGAAATTGCATAGTATCATTCTCGGGAAACAAGGTGACATACACTCTTATGAAACTTGTTTTACTAGTTATCTTAAGATTCGTGAATAAATCTACAAAATATCCAACCGTATGTCCAAATACAGCTCTAGTAGTATCTTTTATACTCAGAGATTAAATTTCTAGCACTCTCAACCAATGCAGCCTACACAAAGTGGAGAGCAAAGCCCTTTGAGACATTATATAAAGGCCTTGCATTTTACTTTGAAAAGAAGTGAATGAGAGATCACAAGGCGCTTATTAATGAGTCGTTTATAGGAAAAACAAAAAAAAACTAAAAATCTTTGTTATCTGATCTTTCAGATTTCTTGAGGAAATTGGAAAAAGGACTGTACTGTTCGATCGGAAAAAGGACTGTATGGCGGGATGTGGTGGCTCATGCCTACAATCCCAGCAATTTGGGAGGCCAGGACAGGAGGACTACTTGAGCCCGGGAGTTCAAGACCAACCCAGGCAACACGGTGAGACCCCATTTCAAAAAGAAAAAGCAAAAGGGACTGTAAATATCTAATACCCAGCTGCAGGTAAAAAGTAAGAGGTGATAGAATGAAGGCGAAAAAAGCGAGATGCTACCAAACTACAGCATACTCAATCCTTTGGCACCTGCAGACTCACCAGTCATGATCTAAAGTTAAGTGATTCCAAAGATCCACAGCATACAGTAACTTATAATGCACTGGAGCATAAATGTGAATTTGTCCAAACCAAATGGAGCCCACTTAACTAGTGAGTGGGTATGGTGTTTATGCCTCAAAATATCTTTGTTCTCTCAGTGATGCTCTTAGCCAAAAAATAAAATTTTGGGACAAATTAAAGCATAAGAATTGTATATGTTTACACGAATGTGATTTTGCCCTTAAGAAGGTCTTCATAAATGTGGGAATTCAACTTGCTATGTGATTTACTGAGGTAATGCATGTAAAATTGCTTGATAGATTATGACATAGCACAGATGAGAATACTAATCAAAGCACTGGTACTGGTAGTCACACTGGCAGATCTTAGGTTATAAAAAGAGGTTAAGGAATGTTTCCTACTTTGTTCTTAAACAACATTTTAGAAAGACTTCCATCATTGTCAAACACTTATCGTAACTTATTTAACATAACTAGAACTAAAACACTTATTTTAACTTAACTAGAATAAGCTCCAATGTTTATATCTTTCTCTATGGATATTGGCACCACAAATGATTTACTTTATGAGGAAGCACATCATAACCATATTTTCACTAAATAATGTTCAAGCTATTTTCCAGTCAAAGCGCGTATCTGGAATGGTATTTTATTGTCTGGTCCAAGAATACCGTATCATCAAAATAATCTTAGTATGTATTTTCAAATACAAGTTATAAATGGGGGATACAAATTTGGACTTTAGATGGGTGGAGACTCAGTAATGGACATACTGGTTGTAACATTTCTTTCAAAATTAAGTCGAGGCTGGGTGTGGCGGCTCACACCTGTAATCACAGCACTTTGGGAGGCTGAGGCAGGAGGACTGTATGAGGCCAGGAGTTCGAGACCAGCCTGGGCAACATAATGAGACCCTCATCTCTATTTTTTAAATATT